CTCATTTATCAATTGATGTATATTTGGGTTAGTTCCACGTTTTTGGTTGTTATAAACAATACTGCTATAAACATTTATGTACACATTTTTGTGTGAACATGTGTTATACATCCAGGTGTGGAATTGCTGGGTTTATATATGGTAACACTCTATTGTTAATGTAATTAATTAATTTTGTGTTGCTGGGATCATCTATATTTAATTTTTTAGTTTTCCATGGTTTGGTAGTTCCCCATAATTTTTGTGTACTATACTGGAAAGCTTTAGAAGGATTACCTTTATTTGTTGATCAAGGCCAGAGTTATCACTAATAAGACATAGTGGAATCATGAACCCTGTGGTATGATGTGCTGAGGACATGCCCTCATTTTTGTGGTGCTTCTGCCAGGGATAACCTCAGTTTAATCGTGAGAAGACACCAGACAGTCCTGAATAACTAACCGGTATTCTTCAGTGGTGCCAGGGTGATAAACTATAAGGAAAGACTGAGGAGTTTCAGTCTACAAGAGACTAGAGAAAAAAAACCCAAACAACTTATGTGTGATCTTGAACAAAAAAAGGACATCAGTGGAAACACTGGGAAGATCTGAAAAGGATTTTCACTTGATTGGTTAATGATATTATTAATTTTACTAAGGGTATGCAGATACTAACATTAGGGAAGGTGTTTGGAATGTATGGAAACTCCACTATTTTTGCAAATTTTGTGTAAGTTTAAAGGTAGTTCAAAGTAAAACATTTAAAAGAAATCCTGTTTGTTCTTATTCACATTTCTGCAGATTATCTAGATTTGACTGGTCATTGCTGGGCTTGGTGTGGCATACCTCCAATCTGCAGTTTGGGTCCAGGTTGACTCCATGGGTCTCTCATCTGTCTTGGACCAGAAAGGTGGCAGTGACAGGTTATCATGGTGATGACAGAATCCCAAAAGACAAACCAACCACAAAAACATATTCCAAACATCTGTTTGTGGTACATTTGCTAGTATCCCACTGGCCAAATGATCTCATAAGCCAAGTCCAAATTGGAGAGGCAGGAAAGTATACTCTGTTGCTAGTAGGAGGAATTGTAAGGTCACATGGTGCAGTGTGACAAGCAGGTAGGAAGAAAATTGCTGATAGTGTTGCAATCTGCCATAGATTTTTCTTTCCTGGGAAAAGCAGGAGTTGTTACCTAAGTCCTGGCCTGTGATTGAAGTCATTGACTCCCATTTTCTGTGGGAGTCAAAACTCAAGCATGAAATGCCTTATTTAAAATGAAGAGTTTCCTAGCAAGCGTGAGGCCCTGAGTTCAAACCCTGGTACCACCAAAATAAATAAATAAATACATACATACATACATACATACATAAATACATAAATAAGTAAAATGAAGAGTTTCTGCAGACTGGGATAGTCAGCTTTGGGATCTGCCCCCAAGAATCAGTAATGGGGAAACAGTCATTATAGGCTTTGAAGACCTTTCTTTTTTTCGATCCCAATCTTATTTTCTGCCTATTTCTTTACCTGGCCACCTCCACCCCACTCCTCACTCTTTTCCTATATGTAATTTCATGACTTCTGTTTGCCTTTGTTTTGCTCTTCCCCAGTGTTCTTTCTGGTATTTTTTCTTTCTCCACAGAGGCTTAAAGATGCAGGTCAGACCACACACTCTCTAATTTGGCCTTTTTCCCAATGGAGTGGAAACATGTGAAATACTGTATTTGCTGTTTCTTCTGCCACTGCTGCTACCATGACTGGTTTCACATATTTTAAGTGAGCGTAACTTGTATTTTGAGTTAACACTATTGTGATTCCTCTTAGCTCCTGTGGTGGCTTATGTGAAAAGAGCAATTTTGGAATCCCCAAATAAAATAATGATTCACATAAGATCCTAGTTTTTTCCTTGGGCAGCTCAGCACAGACTTCAGACATAACCTGTATGTCTGAAGCTTATAAATTCATGTTCTTTTTCTCATGTCTAATGTCAGTGAAAATCAGAAAATGTAAGACATTAGTATTATTATTATTATTATGTTGGTGACACTGGGGTTTGAACTTAGGGCCTCATACTTGCTAGGCAGGCACTCTACCATTTGAACCACTCTGCTAGACCCTTTCTGAGTTGGGTATTTTGATATAGGATCTCGCTTTTTTTTTTTGCCCAGGCTGGCCTCAAACTGCAGTCCTCCTGACTTCTGCCTCTTGAGTAGCTAGGTTTACAGGCCATAGGTGTCCAACTACGATACACCTATTTTAAGGATTTGTTCTGTTACTACTAAAAAAACAAAACAAAACCCTGTTAACATAACTTATTATTATATATCTACTTGCCCTCATAAAAATTCTGACCTTTCTACATACTTGCAGATAGGACAGGATTTCCTGTCTTTCATGTAAAATTTTTCGTTGAACAAATAATTATTGAGGGTTCAATGTCTACTAGGCCATTGATAATTCCTAGGGAGAAAATAGTGGGCATTTAATCAGATAAATTTATGTTAGAATAATTACTGATTGTGATAAGCGCCATCAAGAAAGGATACCTAGTGCTGTGAAAGCCTTTGGGGCAGACAGATCAAGTCTGAGGAAACAGGGGATGCCTTGCAAAGGAAGTAACCCTTAGCTGGGGTTTGGAGGGGTGAGGAGATGGAGGCTGGGGTTAGAAAGAGCATTCTGGATAAATGGAACAGCAGGTAAAATTGCTCCCTAAAACTTTGGTTCTTCCATGGAGTAGGAAATGGAGTATGGAAATCTGTGGTGAGCAAGGCTGAAGAGACAGGCAGGACTTGCCTTCTAGTGGGGAGCCTCACTGACCGGGATGAGGGTTTTCATCTTTATGCTAAGAACAGTAGGCTGGTTTAAAGGTTTGAAGCAAAGAAATGACATAGATTTGTATTTTGAAAAAAAAAAAAAAAAAGGGAAGGCCAGTTGGAAAGTTATGGTTGTATCCAGATGAGTGATAGTAGTGGTCTGGACAAAAGTAGTGATGGGAAGATGGAGAAAAGGATTTGAATTCAAGAGACATGAAGCAGGAAAAATCAACAGGTTTTGGAGATAGAAGGGAGTGGCAAAATACAAGTGCACATCAATGGTGATGTGGTTAACATTCAGTCAGGAAGAGACAGTGTTGTTTTGTTAGTGTCTCTCTATGTGAGGTAGCCTTTCCCTTTCACATATTCAGAGAGGAGATTAATGCTAAAGAAGTCACCTCTTGCCACATAATCAAAGGAATAGAAGTTGCCAGTGTTGTTATTCTTGCCATTATTTGGTCTTATCGCCTCCTAGAACCATCTTCAGCCATTAGTTTTGTTTTCCTATTTCAGGAAAAAAGCCCAATCTTTTTGATGATACACTAAGCCAGCAGCGCCCACAGGCCCTCAACTCCTGCCAGCCTGGTCTGCACCTGCATTCCTGCAGTCTTATTAGTTTCTGTGTCAGAGCCTGTGCACATGGGGTGCCTTTCATTTGGGACTCTTTTTTTTCCCAAGCTGGATCTTATTTTTTGCCTCATTTAACCCCCAACCTAACCTTATCAGGAAGCTTTTCCAGAGAAGGATTTCCCCACTCTATCCTGAGCACATTTTTTTTTGTCCTTAAAACACTTTGGCTGGGTCTAGAAGGAGACCATTTGCACATACTCATGTATGTATGTGTATTTTAGCTAAAGGTGCAGTTCTCTATTGCAGTAGGGTGGGAGAACAGAAGTGACAATATTATAGTGTGATATTTCCCTGGCTTCTTGGTTGTTGGCAGAGTGGCCAGGTAACTTGGGCGTCCACTGTAGTCCTGCCAGAATTGAGAAAACTGTTGAATTCTTACTTCTTACTTCATCATTACCATTTTATACTCAGGGTTTATCTGACCATTGTGAGAGAATTTGCATATTTCCCTGAAAAGAATTTTTTTATTATCATCATTCACAGTTTTTAAACTCAGTGCTGTAAGATAGGTGTATCCTCTGGCAGAAGAAAGCAGAATCAAAGTCCAAGTATCAGAAGACCATTTTCTTCCGATTTCTAGTGTCCTAAAAAGCCCTATCTGTGAAATGCTCTATCCCTGCAAGCCATTAACATTTGTCTTTGTATTCCTAGAACCTACCATGGTTGCCTGTTTATAGTAGTTGACTGGTAAATATAATTTTAGTGACTGACTGAATGACTGAATAGGTGTAACATTCCCTTTGTATTTTGTGATTTTGCACAGTTGTTTTTAACTATCCTTAGGTGATTTCATGGAATGCATATGAATAGCCCATCCATTCATAACACTTATTTTCTCAGCTATTGGATCAGAGTCTTTGAGATAGGTGGGCGTAGATTTTCACTTTCTCTTGGTTCCACTCCCTGCTTCCTTGGCTTAGTTTTTCCTGCTATGTTCCAGTCACTTATTTCTTCCTTCTGATAAATGTTAGAGCTACAAATTTTATGTGCCACGCTTTGGCATAAAGGATGGGGAAATCCAAAAGGAGGAAACACAGCTCCTATCCTTTGGGAGGAGAGAGCTACATAGAAGGAGCCTGGTTAAAAAGATGAGGGTGGTGAGCTAGGAAGCTTGCTGGGATGTCAGGCTGTCTGGGGTTCTGTGGGATTGTGAGGCAAAGGGCAGGAAAGATGTCGTGGAAGAGACAATAATATAACCATGTCTTGGGGGGTGAGTAGATACATTCATATAACAGTAACAGCAACAAAAGCTTATTACACAAATTTAAAGAAAACATATAATAGCTTAAAGTGCAGGTTCTAATGAGCAGAAGTTGGTCTCTAGATTCAAGTGTATATCCTGTAGCCTGCCTTGCCTCAGTTCCTTATGGATTCCCTTACAGATTAGTAAAACGAGTGTATGTGAGTGGAGTTTGTGGGTTAGAGTGGGAGAGAGGGCTGGGTGGAGGAAGTAAACTGGACACAGCATTATGGTCTTTATCGGCTAGTCAGTCCTGTTAGTATGTTATCCAGTCGTTCCATCCCTGTGTGCCTCCAAGAAGTCTATACCTCATGAACCTTTCCTTTTCTTGGCTTTTAGGTCAGGCTGTTCCTGCAGGATCCCATGTGCGGCTGAATCTTCAGACTGGGGCAAGAGAAGTGAAACTCCAATATGAAGACAAGTTCCAAAATAATCTGAAAGGGCTGAAAAAAGGCAAAAGGTATAGCGTCCACTCTAGCGACTGGGAGGCTAAATGATGGCATTGATTTTGAATACTGAAAGTATTCATGTGGCTTTTTTAAATTTGAAATTTAATAGCATAGAATTTGTGATAAATCTGCCAATGTTTTATGGAAGTTCACTTCTTCAGTCTTTGGAAAGAAAGAGTTTGCAAAGCAAATTGATACTTTAAAAAAGGCTGTAGGGGGAATGCTTAACCTGCTTTAAAAATGAAGCTATTTTTCCTGGTACTTTAAGAGCACCCATTTGAATCCCAACAATTAATGTGCTGATTACAGATGAGTCATCTATTCATTAAAACAGGCCTGTTCGGCCTTCTGCTTTGCAGTAATACTTCCTTGGTGAACAATAAAATTGGATTTTAAAGTCTTTAATTCAGACTAACTTTTCCTCTTGTTAGTCAGTATTAAAACAGACTTTCTTTTGGTATACAAGTAGACGCTACTTTATTCTCCAGTGGTTAGAGGTTGCCTTACTTTTAATAATCAGTTTAGGCTACTTGATTTTAGAGAATCTATTTTTCTGTTCATTGCCTTGAATTAATAAGTTTTCTTTGCTTGGTATTTCCTGAATTAATGGGAGGGAGGTTGAGGCATGGGGTGTCAGGGATTGCCAGAATCGTGGGGTTTGGAAGCTCTGGATAAATGCCAGTGTTGAAGTCTCTAACACAGGGACCATCAAATTATGACCAGCATATTGACACTGCTGCCTGCTTTGATATGGTCTACAAGCTAAGTTGGGTTTTACAAATTTTAATAGTTGAAAAAAATCAAAAGAAGATTAGCATTTCATGACTCATGAAAATTATGTGAAATTCAGATTTTAATGTTCATGAGTATTTATTGGAACACGCCCTTGCTCATTTGTTTACATAACGCCTATGGATGCTTTCTTGCTGCAGTGGCAGAGTTGAACATTTGGGCCAGACAACCCACAATGCTTAAAATATTATTTGATTGTTACAGGTAATTTTCAGACCCCCTGTTCTCAAACATGTAAATATTGAGAATTAGTCATAAATTGGGGGTGCCTAACTCAGTCCTTACAGTTAGATATGAGTCAGAAAGGGACTTTAGAGGCCTAGTTCTTGCCTGACATATCTGGCATACCTTCTTTAACATACCTGACAAAAGGTCATTCAGCTGATCTATGTTCATCTTTAGTCAAGTATCACTCACAATTGCACAAAGCAACGTGGTCAGAGTTGGGCAGTTTTCACAGTTGGAGGCATTTGTCTTCCTTACATTCACTCCAAACAAGGACCTTTCTTCTTTCCCCATCTCTGTAGGTAGGCCTGTATCTGGAGTGGTCCAAGTCATGCAATTATTCCTTTATTACAACCATATAAGAAATAATCAAATATTGTTGTGGCCCTGCTAACCTTTATCCATCCCCAATATACACATATACATTATTTCAGCATCTTTTCTTTCTTTCTTTTCGGCAATACTGGGGGTTGAACTCAGGGCCTCATGCTTGCTAGGGAGGTGCTCTACCACCTAAGCTATGCCTCCAGCTCGTTTTTGCTTTGCTTATCTTTCAAGTAGGGTCTTATGGTTTTGCCAGCCTTAGACTTTGATCCTCCTACCTACAGCCACCTGCACAACTGGGATGATAGGCAGTGCCACCAACCCAGCTTATTGGTTGAGATGGGTCTTGCTAACTTTTTTACTCAGCCTGGCCTTGAACTGTGATCCTCCCAATCTTTGCCTTCTGAGTATCTGGGATTACATATTTGAGCCAGTGTGCCTGGCCTTGATGTCTTAAAGTCCTTTTATAATGTCTTTTCTCATATCTAAGTCTTATTTTCTAATGAAAAAGCCTATTGATTAATTTGAAGCTTTTTATTTGTTTTTTTTTTACATCATGGGAAGTTACTTTCCTACTACCTGACTGTGGATTATCAGTAAGAGCTCTTACTGCTTTGTCTGTTGTTCGTATCTTTTTAGAATAAAAAGCAGATCCATCCATGTGGTCTATAGAGACATACCATAAGGGAGAAATTTTTGTTCCCACTCCTGCCTTTTTACTTTTCTCCTTTAGAGTGTTTCTGAGGGCTTTGCCCTGGAATGGCCTCCAGTATATACTGGACATTTCCTCTTCTTTCTCAACTGTAATAACTAGTGGCAAACCTAACTGAACAGAAGGCCAAAGATATTGACAAGTGGTGTGGTATTCAAATTTGATGCTGTTAGCTCAGTGAGTCTCCGTCTGTGTGTGGTGGTCACTTCTTCCTTCTGGGATGGGCCTCATTTTTTCTCTACCGGTTCTGCTCCACAGTATCTTCCTAGCTCTGGAGTACTGGGTTAGGAACAAAGGCCTAAGTGCAGAGCCAGTATCCTGAAATTGGTACTGTATTTTGCTTACTTGCCTTTTCTGCTTTGGAGGAAAAAATGTGCAGCTTTTCATCTAATTGTCAAATAAGTTGGTAAACCCACAGAGTTAAAAACTGTTGGCCTAGAGGCAGATGGGAGAGTTAGCCTAATTCATGGCAGCCTGTCCTACTGAGTATGTTTCTGGCCATACTGCTACCTGGGGTTATGATACCTGTGGGCTCTCAGGCCTGAGGCAGAGACCCTGCCTCAGAGTTGTCTCAGAGGGTTCTTTTGGCACTCCCTGATGTCATGCATATTTGGCTTCTATGTTTTTATGTTCTAGTTATTGTTATTTTCATGGGTATTAGTCCATATCCCTGTCAACATCTCCATAGAACATCTCTTTTTTTTGCCTTGGAATAACCAGCTTCTTCAAATGTTCCTCCTGTGTTAGAGGATTGAGAGACAAGCTACCCAAGTTGTACCATCTTGGGTTAGGCATTTACCATGGAACAATACAGAATAGAAGTTACAGGGGTGGGCCAAGGATAAGCCATTTACTTGCTGCATTCATTCATTTTGCATAAAACCTGTTGAATGCCCATGTGCCAGGCCTTAGGGATACAGTAGTGAACAAAACATACACAAAGCAGCTAGAGTTACCTTGTTATGAGTATGAACATTATGGAGGCTAGCAGGCAAAAAAAAAAAAAAAAGGAAAACAAATAAACATAGAAGTAAGATAATTGCAGATTATAATAAGTGCTAGGGAAGAAATAAATAAGCTGATGAAGTCCCTGGAGAAGATTACTTTAAATAGGATGGTTTGGGAAGATCTCATCAAGCTATTTGAATTGAGACCTAAAGAATGAGAAGGATTTACCGTTTAAAGGATTAGGTTTATAGGTTTAGGAATTAGAACATTTCAGGCAGATGGAAAAACAAGAAGAATCAGTGGCTTCCTCAAGTTAAAGAAACAGGAAAATGATCAAAGTGATTAGAGAGGAGAGAGAAGGAAGAAGACTGACAGGAGATGCAAATGAAGAGGACATGGGGGCCAGATTATATGAAGTTTTAAGGAACTCATTGAGTATTCTTCATTTATCTTTTGGTGTAGTGGAAAGCCATTGGAAGATTTTAGGCAGAAGAGTGACTTGTAGCAAAGTAACTCTAGTTTATTTGTATTTGGCAAAGAGACTGAAGACAGGGAGAAGAAGAAATAGAGACAATTAGGATGCTGTTTCAGTAGGCCAGACAAGGTATGATGGTGGCTTAGCCCAGGGTATCATAATGGAAAGTAGATGAATTTGGGGATTTAGTCTGGAGTTGAATCCAAAAGGACTTGCTCATGATTTAGATACAGAGGTTGAAGGAAGTGGGGAGAATTCAGGATAAAGCCTTGTTTTGGGGTTTGAGCAACTGGATGCTTAGAGGTGCTATTTATTGGAATAGGGAAGGGGACAGATTTATAAGGACCAACAATTAAGGGCTATGTTTTAGATTCAATAATTTTGAGGTATCTGTTAAACATCTGAGACCCAAAATACAACAGTTAGGTAGTTGTGTAAGAGTCTACTAGTTCAGGGGAGAGGATTGGACCAAAGACACTCATGTGGGCCTCACTGGAAGATTGATACTTAAAAATCTCATCCTGAAAAAAGAATCTCATCTTGGAAATGAGAAGAGAAGGACTGAATCCAAAGTATTTCAACATATATGGTTCAGGTAGTAGATAAGGAACCATCAAAAGTGTTGGAGAAGGAATGGGGAGCCAGATGAGTGTGGTATCAAGAAGCCAGGAAAGGAGAGTGTTTGAAGAAGGGAGGATGTGCTGTGCAAATGCTACTGAGTGGAACATGAAGTTAGTGGAGATTCATCAAATATGAGTAATTTTGATGAACAATGTTAGTGATGTGGTAGAGACAGAATCCAGATTAGAACAAATGGCAAAGTAAATAGGAATCAAGAAGCTGGGGATAGTGAGTGAAGACAATGTGTTCATAAAGTTTTACTCTACACAGGAGCAGGAAAATGGCCTGTTAACTAGAAGAGACTGTGAAGTCAAAGGAGTGCTGGTATGCTGATAGAAATTGCTGATACAGGTAGGAGAGAGCAGTATAATTATGGGAGTTAAAGCTTTTGTGAAGGCAAGTGGGATCTGGAACATTTGCTTGATAGGAGCGGAGACACTGTCATCCACTGTAATAGAAGAGTATTAGAGAACATAGGTTGAAGTATAGGCTGTTTTGTAGAGCTGATGATGGAAGATGAGGAAATTCTTAATTGTGGTTCTGAGACTCAAAAGCAGGGCTTCATTGTATGCTGGGCAAGCACTCTCAACTGAGCTATATGTCCTTAACCCTGAAGATAAAGAAGTTATTGATGATAACATCCATTTTCCTCAGTGAAGAGTGAAGTGAGAATATCAGCTGATTGTGTTTGAGGTTGTGTGTGAGCACATGGATATGTGCTTATGGATGAGTGTTGTGCATCCAAGGGTGAGTGATGATGCATGGCCTGGAAGAGTGGGATTTAAGGCAGCAAACAGATATACAAGGAGCATGGACTTATTTCTGACCAAGTTTTGAGGAGGAGGAAGTATTTCCAGCTGTGATTCCTGAATGTGTAGTTCCCTTGTAGGAGTGGGGGCAGAGCAGTGCTATCTTCATGCAGTTGGCAGTGGATGACACTCTGTGAGGAGAGGGATTTGGAATTCCATCCCCTATTTTGTGGGATTATGCCTAACCATTTGAACAAAATACTACCTTTAAGGAATTAACACACTGCTGACACATAAATGGGAGTGATTAGCTATTATGAACTGGTTTAGGACTGAAGTTTAGATAAAATAAGTAGTTTTATCAGTGCCCTTAAAGGGTCTCTGCAATGAATCAAAGACTGAATGAGCAGAGCCCTGAGTACATATCCCTCTTATGAAAACTGAGATCTTTTAAGATCTTGGACTATGAGATTGACATTCTTGTCCCTCTTGGAGTAGAACAGTTCAGTAACCTCTTCCTCCCCCACCTCTGAAATCTCATGGGCTATGCTTAACTCAATCACAGCTGGACAGTCTGTCAATTGTAGTCCATTGTGTTAGTTACTTTTGCCTCATTGTGATAAAATACCTGACATAAACAATTTAAGGGAGGAATTATTTACATTGTTCATGGTTTCATTCATTATGGTAGGGTGACATGTTGGTATAGAGTTATTCCACTGTGGCAGCCAGGAAACAGAGTGAAGAAAAATAGGAAGGGGCCAGGGCAGATATAGCTCCCAAGGACACTCCCCCAGTGACCTATTTCCTCCAACTAGGCCCCACCTCCTACTTTTTACAACCCCCAGTAATACCATCATATGAACTCATCAAGGGATTCATCCATTGATTATGTCAGAGCCCATCAGTTGGCAACCAAGTCCCCACTGAGTGAGCCTGTGGGTGACATTTTATATTTCAACCTTTAATATCCATAGTCTACATTTCTATTTGTCCACATCACCCTTGTTTACTGAACTGAGCTGAGTGCTGGCGGTAAAACTTTGCCCCTCTTTCCTCATGATGCCTTCTGTCCAGTCAAGATGAATGCTTATCCCTGGGCTTGGATCAGCTCTAGGGGGTTTTCTGAGACTCTTACTCAAGTCTCTCTTCAGGTTCTTGAGATTACTGGTACATTGGTTCCTTTATTCTCCTTGAAGGCTAGCTGTGGAAGGTGGCTGGCCTTGATTCTACTCCTCAGTATCTCAAATCTATTCCTTTGTCCGAATGACACACTTTTTGTTTCTCCTTTCTGCTCAAAGGTTGGTCTTAAGGTATGAATCAATCCCATTCATTTATGAAAAGATAGGTTGGCTTGTCAAGTCAGGTCAGGTACACACTAGGGAGCCTTGTTTTCCCCTTCCCAGAAGACTATCAATAAGTGTGCATGTTACTCCCCATCTCTGTACTCTTTGCCCTTAGGAGGCTCCTGTGTGCCTTGTGTTTAGAGAGCAGCCCTGTAAAGACATTTCAGTCCTGTTTGTGTCCAAGCAGCTGACTAAAAACCTCTTTAGTTCAGGGTGAATCTACCCTGTGTCTTTTCCTCCTTTCTTTATCTTTATCTAGTTTCAAGGTGCCTGTTGGATCCCTGACTGAAAGCACGGTATGATAGTACACTCAGAGTTACAGCTGGACTGGCCTAGTTTACCTTGTACCAGACACTCAAGGGTGCTTTCTTTCTTGGGAAATGTAGTGCCTTTCTCCTGACTCTCAGCTTCTCTTTGGGTAGATTGGACATCAACACCAACACCTACACATCTCAGGACCTCAAGAGTGCACTGTCCAAATTCAAGGGAGAAGCAGAGATGAAGAGGTCAAAGGAAGATGAGGTATGTGGTGTCCTTTCTAGTTAGTATAACCCTGCAGCAGGACCTTGGTGTTTTTGTACAGGAAAGAACCATTTTTCCCTGAAGATTTGGCAATAAACATATTATAAAATAATAATCATAATATAAAATAATTTGAAGAATCATTAGTGACAGATAAAAAGCCCTTTATAGACTATTAAAAAAAAAACAGTGCTAGGAACATTTCTGTTAGTTCAGGTTATGATCCAACTTTCTACTGCGTAGGTGGAGAAATTACAACACAGAACAGAGGTGGCCATACTCCCCTATATCATGAGTGGTGAAAGGAGATTACAGTCATAGCCCCTCACTTATACTGCAGTTAGACACAAGATGGTTTAAGAGAATGCAAATGAAAAAGAGGTACAATCATAGCTCCTTGGTTGTGCTCCTAATATCTGGGAAGGGTCTGAGGTACAGTTTATATCAGGAAGAAATCCTACTCTTGTATGGATATGAACTCATGTAATAGCCAGAAAATGTCACAAAGCATTTCTATATACTTCTAGTTGAGTCTTGTTAGTCCTTAAAGAATCTCCTTTAATGGCTGCTTTGGAGACTTCTCTAAATTTTCCGTCCTTTTTCCCCATCATAGTCTTTTTTGCCTTTGTCTGCCTCTTTACCCTCTCCCCAAAACTCTACCAGTATCTTAGAGAGGCAGTATTAGGTCATTGGCAGCTTGTGTGTTAGTACAAGAAGGCTTAGGTGTTTCAGATCATTTAGAACTAAGTATTTCTGAGACAAATGAACCTTGGTAGTTCAGCTGGTGTCAACCTATTTAGGAAGGTTAATGCATAGGCCATGATTCCATGTTTTTATTCTCACATGTCCTGCATGGAGATTATGTATGTTGTGGGAAGAGGAGCAGGGTGGTGGCAGCAGTAGCAGGTGAATGAAGGTGCTGCATCAAACTCCATCCTACCACAGATGTATTAGCTGGGTGGGTTCTGGGAGTGAGGAAAAGCAAATCTCTTACCTGGTGAAGGTGAAGCCAAGAGAGATCCTAGGGTAGGGATTGGTGCTCTGAGGACCAGGCCTTTGGGTCCTTCCCACTTGTCATCCCTTCATTATGGATACCATGTGGGATTGGTAGAAACATAAAAAGTTGCTCCTGGTTCCATAACTTATGTAAATGGAAGATCTACTTACCTCTTTTGCTTCTCTCTATTTTCTTGAGATGTGCAATTAAATTTTCTTTTCTCAGGTAATGACATTTTCCTCTCATAATTCCTCTAGTGTACAAGAGTTTTAATATTTATGAAATATTTGAAAATGGTAAACAAAAGATCATTTAAAAGTTTTCCATTGATAGTTTTTACAATTTAAAAAATTCTTATCCTTTGCAATGGGCTTTGCATACCAATACCCAAAAGCAAAATCCCAGGACTTGCTGATTTGAGTCACCCAGCCCACTTCTGAGATATGGCTGCCACTCTTTCCTTATTTTGGTGAAACTTAGGTTGTTAGCTTTTTCACTAAGTTTCTGGGTTGTGAGGCTCTTCTGCTTTTATTTGGAGTCTGTCTGGACTGAGTCAGCTCACTGCTAATGTATTATCAGCACTGACCATGAGATTGGTAAATAAACTGACTTGAACTAGGTTTGGGAGTTTCTTACATGTCTTAAGCTCTTGGCTACAGATGTCTTCATACTTTCACCTTACTAACTTTAACCCCCTCCTGTGGTGCTTTGTATGTACAGGATGGTGCTTTTGCTATTTATAAAGATAATACTGTCAGGTATTAGCCGTATCTTTAGGTTGTGTGTTTTTTGCATTTGATGTTTTGGAAAGAAGGGCATTAATTCCCTTGTATCAAGGGTAGCTTAGTTGGTTTAGGTGAAGGGTTCCTTGCTTCTCCTTTAGATTTGGGTGGTGGTTGTTTAAGCTTACTCATTTGTCCCTCAATTACAATACATATTCATGGTTTATTCCTTATCCTGTCATCTATTGTTTATTCCTTATCATGTCAACTATTGTTTACTTATGTCTTAAAAGTTATTACATTTTAAGATTGACCTTCTTAAACTTTTGATTCTGGGCAAGATGTAGTAGACTCATTTTTCCCAATTACTCTTACTAAAGATAACTAAAAACCCTGGACATAACCCTAAACGCAAATGTAGAAAACCCTTAAAAAGTGGTAAGAAGGTGGCTAATTGGGTAGAGACCTTGGACCTTTAGGAGTGACATGGCAGTGAGTTTCTTGGGTTTTCTTTCTGCTCTCAATATCCCAGACTGGGAACTGGAGAATCCTACATCCTGGAAATGCCAGGATGCTCTAAGAAAAGCCTGCTCTTTCTAGATGAAGGCCTGGAAAAAGGTTAGTGTAACATGAAAAACTTTTTTGACAATACCTGTCCTACTCTTTCAAAAAAGCCATGGAACACCCCCCACCACACACAAACATACACACATTCATTGCCAGTAGAAGTTGAGTAGGAAGTCTGAATTTTTACCTCCTGCTTGGTTATAGCAGCAAGGAGTACTCTTGATTCTTTCACCAGAGCCAGCAGAAGCCATGATGGGAGCCTAAATTTGCACCCCTTGCCAATGGCAGTAATGTTCTGTGAGTCAGTGCTCTACTTCCTCCACCAGGAAGGTGTCAGTAGGAGCTGAGAGTCTGAATTTCTACCCTCTTCCCAGTAGCTTTCTCTGCCTCTTCTGCTGGTGTAGTACCAGCAGATCTGATTTTCTACCCTCCATCTGGGGGCAGCAAGCTGCTTATCCTACTGGGTTGGTGTCATTAGAGCCCAGGAAGGGAATTTGAATGCCTGGGGCCTTGCAGCACTAAGATGGTTTTTCACTTCTCCCTAATGAGGTAGTATCTGTGAGAATGCATCAGGAATCTGTCTACCACCCCCACCCTGGTGGCAATAGGCAGAATGAAACAGCATTCTGCCTCTTGCTTTGGGGTACAATCTGTGGGGCAATGAGGTAGAGCTTCGATTTCACTACCATCAGGGTGGTGTCAGTAGAGGCCAAGAGGGGAGATAGTATTCCATTCCCAATGTCCAGAATCCAGTGGTAGCAGATGATGTTCTTTACCTTCCCAACTAGAGTGTGAGGGTAGCATTTTGGGAGAACAGAACTGAAGAAAGATTTTGCATACAAAATCCTGGCCAAAACCCCTAAGTAACCCCTACAAGAAACTGACCAGAATTAATGCAACTAAAGGTTTGAGATCTGAACCAGTGTGGCACACTGCCCCGGTTTTTAGATTGTCCTTTGTGCAGCACACAAAGGTAACAACAGAATACCACTACAAACTAAATTATTGGAGCCATAACCAACCCACATGAGTAAGCCAGAGCCAGCATAATAAACCTAAGCAGGTGACAGCCTGTTGAAAAATAAGAATGAATAGAATGCAGACTCTCTCAACTTAATACCCAAAATGTCCAGCATATATAGTACATATAGTGTATACAATGTGGACATTCTAGACAAAGAGATGATTCATGTCCAAGGCAGGTAGAATAGCATGAGATTTCGTCATGCTACTCAGAGCAATGTGTAGTTTAAATTTAAAAATTGTTTATCACTGGAATTTTCCATTTAATATTTTTGTGTCTTGATTGACCATGAGTAACTGAAGCCATGAAAAATGAAACTGCAGATAATGGGGGATTATAGAATAGAACTGAAAACTATAATAACTAAAAATTTAAAAGTAACTGGATTAGCTCAAGAGCAGACTGTATATGACAGGGAAAAGAACTTGAAGACAAATCAAAATTACAAAATCTGAATAGAGAAAAATAGATTGGAAAAAAAATGAACGGAGTCTTAGGGTCCTCCACGGAGGACTATAACGGAAGATCTAACATTTGTGTCACTGGAGTTCTGGACAGAGAGGAGAAAGAGTTATGGGGCTGAAAAAAATAATAATTAAAGAAGCACTAGCTGACAAGTTTCCTAATTTGACAAGAGTCATAAATCCACAGATCCATGAAGCCAAGTTGATCCTATAGGATAAACTGAAAGAAGTCAGAATCAAGGTACATTGTAGCCAAATTTTTGAAAACTGAAAATATTTAAAGCAACTATCTGTGTTCCATTATCTGTGGAACAATGATTGAGTGATATTGAATTTTTCATCTGAAACCATAGAAGCCACAAGTCTGTGGCACATTTTTCAAGTGCTGCATAAAGAAAGAACTGCCCACTCAAAATTCCTATAAATATCCTTTACGAGTGAAAGCCTATAAATATCCTTTAGGAGTGAAAGAGAAATCAAGACATTCTCAAATAAAGAAAATTAAAAAATTTGTCACCAACAGACCTACCCTAAAAGAAGGACTAAAGTATATTTTCCAAATAGAAAGGAAAAATAATAAAAGAAAACTCAACATCAGGAAGAAAAAACAAAAAAAATGAATAAAAATGGGGCAAAATATGGTTTCCATTAAAAATGGATAGTGAAGCAAAAATTATGACATCATCTTATGTTTCTCAATGTTTATAAGGAAAAAAATTAAAGATAATTATAGCTGAAAGTAACATAATTGGAGATAAAATTTCTATACTTTTTTATCACTCAGATAAAATATTGATGTCATTAGATCATTAGCTACTTATGTATGTTTTACTACTTAGAGAAATCAGTATTAAAAAACTATGCAAAGAGATATATTTAAAGCACTATGAATAAACCAACATGGAGTTTTATAAAAAATGTACTTAGCCTTGTGACAGGAAGACAAGAAAGGGGAAACAAAATCCAAGGAAATAAACAGAAAACATAAAACAAAATGACAGACTTGAGCTCAATCATAACAATAATTATATTAAAATGTAAATAGTCTATATATGCCAGTTAAACCAGATTATCATAATGAATTTTTAAAAATTGATCCAAATACATGATTTCTACAAGATACCCACTCAAATATCATGATAAAAAAGGTAGGTAGAATAGGTAGAATGTAAAAGAATGGAAAATATACAAGCATTAATTGTTTTTCAGAAAGTTGCAGTAGCTAT